GTTGGCCTCAGCGGGAACATGGACGGCCTGAAGAAGCCGCGTCCACCGTAAGGCGAGGCAGGGAAGAGCGGCGCGGCGCAAGCGACGACGTCCAGAAAACGAACGATAACAGGATCTCGGATGCTGGCATGCTGCAGGCGGCCTTGCTGCGACGACCGCCTCTGGGCTTCGGAATCTGCAAATAACATTCTCGGAAGTCAGGTAAGAACAAATCGCGAGGAAGCACAAGAAGATCAACGCCTCACCAGGGCGCAAGATCCCGTGAAAAATGAGAGCCAGCGTGCCGGCAAAGCGGAACAAAGCTACTGACATAACGGCATAGACGATAGCACTGGGAACAGGGACCCGATGTTCAGTGGGCTCCAATTTTTACCGCTTGTTCAGGTGGTCCCAACATACACTCATGTAAGGCTTGATGCCGAGGACTCTGCGAGGGAGCAAAGCCAACAGATGCCGAAATAGGTGCATCGGCGCTCCAGTGGAATACAAATGGGAGCCGTATTCCCAAGCGACCAGGGCGACCAAAGAGGGGAGCTTAAAATTGTCGTATAACGCAGCGGCACTGAGGTGGAATGTGAGTGCAGGGGCAGGGGCAGGGGTGCAAAGAACCTACTCGAGAAACTCGTGTGCGAACCGACTGTTCGAATGAATTTCGCGTTTTGGATGGCAGGCCTTTGGAATCGTTGCTGTTGCTGTTGCGGTCTAAAGCCGGATTTACGCCGCATTCATTGCAAGGCTGTGACGGGGTCGACAAGCACTGGACGTGGCACTGCATCAACCCTTGGAGGACGTATTTCATGTGGGACTTCTTTGATTGCAGCCAACGCGGATTCACTCTACCTTTGAGATGCGCCTCGAACCGGTTTGTGCGTGGGAAGCTTGGGTTAGCTCAAACACTAATCTCATGAACATAGAACCTGCTTGTTGTGTAGCTGCGGATTATGACGATCAGCCAAGGGATGAAGGGTTCTTGGAGTCTCTGGATCATTGCACAGCAAACAAATACGAATAAACAAGACCTGAGGCCAACGCGAATCCAATCTGTGTGCCCTCGAAACACCATCAAACACCTCGGCTTCACACATGCGGTCAAGGATCAAGCGACTTCGGACCTGCGACCTGGGCGACGTCGTGGTTCGGAGACTAATACACACTAACACACACAAGCTTGCACTGGTGCTCCAAGCTCGTGTCCGCCTTGGAGGCCTTCATCTCCTGAGGTTCCGACGCACCAGTGGCAGCATCCCACAAAATGGCAGTGCTGTCGCTGACGGAGGTTATGACCTCAGTCTGCAAAGACTGAAACATGCTTGCAGTCGGCTTGCAAAGCCGTAAGCTCTCAACCCAATAATCACCTCAAGCCTTGATTGAAATGCAATGCGCTTTTGACTCCTGCCATCGAAGTAAGCGAAGCTACCAGTGCTGCCCTGTTGCACATGCACCAAAGGACCATGTATCCCAAAGTTTCTCAAACAAAGCAGGTGCGTCACCTATGCCTCTGCAGCACCGACCTGTGAGGCATCCGGCGAGAAGGCAGCATGCCTCACCCACTCCTGCAGTGCAGCAGGGGGTTTTGGCCTAGTGGGGCTTTGGGGCGACAGGCCGACAGAAGCGTTCACATGCCAAGGCCCAGGTAAGCAAAGCAGGGGCGAGTCGGAGAAAAGTATCAGAGCATAGCTTGACCATGCCTGCGCAGGAAGACGAAGACCAAGACTGTCGTCGCACCCTCTGTTGGAGCTAAACAGGCAGTTCAGCAGCTGAGAGGAGAGGGAACTGGATCCTTCCCCAGGGCTCAAACCTTCGACTTCAAAGACGACCCCGCGCAATATCCCGTCCCTTTGGCAAGCAAGCTTTGCGTCAGCATCGTAGAGCATTGTAAGTCTGGAAGTGTAGTGTAGTGTAGTGGCAACAGTGAGCAGGTCAGGTGGTGTGTGGGAGAACTGAGCCCTCTACCTTTGAGAGCGCCCTAAACTCGCAACCCAAGCAAGGGCACCTCGTGACAAAGTGTCTGCTCTAAGCGGCCGTCACTGAGGCCTCGGTGCGCCGATATCAGCCCAAAACTGCCGCTTGCCGAAGTGCAGAGCATGAGAGCTCTTTCGCTCAGGGCCTAGGCCTAGTCACTGTTTTTGGATCTCTGCCTTGGGCGGCGGGAGTGCTCTCACAACCTGTTGCACTGTCAATCAGCTTCCGGCTCCACAGCTTCGCTGTCCGATCCTGTCCAGAAGCGTTCCCCAACCCCCGGTTTGTGAGACGCAATTCGGAGTTGGTGGAAAGCTCATGCTACAGCATGTGGCAGAGCAGGGACGCCAGAAGCAATCGATCGATGCTAGATCCGTGGATACAGCTTGTTTAGGAACAGCTGCGCCGTACTGCAACTTGCTTCCTTCTCTTGCTGGCCCTTGAGATGCAAAGCTATTGGATTCTGGGGGCATGCCTGCAGGATCCCATGTGCTGCGTATGAGATTGCGGCAATATAGATGCAGACACTCGGTTTCGACAAAGTGCACTCGTTCTTCAACTATGCTCGAGCTCCAATGAAGCGGCTTTCTATCATTTCTACAGCGCTATTGACCAGGTTGATTCCTGCAAGTGTTGTGTCTGCGACAATTCCCAACATGATGCTGGTTGTTCATTGGTACATTGCATTTTTTACTTCATGGCAGCCATGCAACTTTCGATCAGTTCGGATAATTCAGCAAAGTACGAAAACGACCGCTATCCAATGTGAATACTTCTGTCCGATTGCTGCCGTTGTCATGCTGTGATTCTCTTGCCTGTTGTGTCGTGCTGATCAGGACTACTCAGATAGGCGTGAGTATTTGGATCGCCAATGACGATTTGATGATGACGAGCGAGAACTCGTGAGTTGATGGTGATGCTTGTGGCAATATCATAAGTGTGATTCTTGAGGCGACAATGACCACTATGATTGCGATTACTGAGACTATTGCGGCGAATCCAGAATAGTCGGATCGCAGTTCACTGCCAGATTGGCATGGCTTCAATTTACTGTGCTTGCTATGCTTTTCATGACTCTTGACTTGGTTCGTGTGGCTGGAGCGATGGTTGCGATTCTGCCGAATGATCTGACTCTTGACGTCATCTTCTCTCTGACAAGCTTTAAGTGGCCTGCTGGACTAGGGTTTGGAGTATGTGCTATGACTGTTGCATACCTAACCTCATGCAGGTGCAACGGGCTCTTCAACCGGGAACAGCCTCGAGAAACGTTGTGACAGCTATCCTTCGATGAAGGTGAATCTTTTTTAGCACCAGGAATTGAGTGATGAGTTGTCTCGCTCTAGGCGTTCTCTCGTTCCGTTCTCTGTCTTTCCTGAACTTTCCTGCTTGAGTCCCCCCTTGCTTCTTGCCTTCCTTGCTTCTACCCTTCCCGGCAGAGGCCATGCACTGAACAACAGGCAAGACAGGCCGCGTCACGCAACTCCTAAACCGTCTCCATATAACCCGCAGCTTGATTGGTTTGTTGGCCTCGCTGGCGCTCACCAGACGACCTGGTTGAACGGTTCAGGGTTTAGGGATCTGGGTTCGGAGTGTATGATTGCCTTGTTGCCTCACAAGACAGTTTTCGCCCTCCACGCATCCTAGGCCCTGCTGCAGCAGGACGGTCACTGTAAAAGCTTCAGAACACCCCCTAGCTGCCTAGCTAGCCAAGCCACAGGAATCGTTGGAGATGCTGGTAGAGTACACCTGGGAGAAGTTCACATGCCATGGGGTGGAAAAGATAGACGTTCCGACAAGGAAGCTAGTTGGGTAAATGGGAGGGTGAGACGATGATCGAACCGAGCGTCGAGCGTTGGTTGCACGGTTACAGGTACAGCTCCGACAGCCGAGACACATGGGGGTTTCCGAAAATCAGGAATACCTTATTTCGGGGTCCTTATAACAAGGATCCTACTATTTAGGGTACTATATTAGGGTCCCCCATGTTCGGAAACTCCCACATGGTCTTGCAAATAGCCAGAGGCAGAACTACCACTCAGTTGCTCGGGAAAGTTGGGGGAAAGTTTCCGGAAGGAGGCCTTCGCTCCAAACTGCTGGGAATCCTCGTGTTCTGAGGCATGAAACCCAATATTCTACTTGAGCAGCTTCCGACAGTGCCGAACCCACGTAATTATAACAAGATCCGGGCCATAAAGCTCCCGATCAGTGGAAAGCATAGCATTGTTCGGGCCTTGTTGGGGCCGGCATACTAAAGCTCCCCAAACAACTCGACGATTTCGCAAAGTACGCTTCAAAGCATCTTCGGAAATCACTAGTAACGCAGCAATGTTGCAGCGCTGGTGTGGCCGCAAATGACCTGTCTGGGTGGATTGACCTTTGGGGTGCTTGGGGTTTTGCGTTCTGGAGCACTCGGAAAAATATCGAAGCATCCGTTTGCTTTAGGTGGGCCTCCAGGCTTGACACTTTGGGACAGGTGAGCTTATACCACCGGCTGCCGCGCAAGGCAATGTCGAGTCTTGGCAGACTGGCCACGATTTCTGAAAGCGTACAGAAGCCTCCCAAAGGACGATTCGGAGTCAGGGTCTGCCCAAAGTAATGGAGAGGTCTGAGTCTGTGGCCCTGCTCTTGCAAAACGAAACTCTACAGAACGCGGTTGCTTTCTTGCACAGTTTCGTGCCTTGGAACATGAGCGCGTAGTATGATCCCATAGCCTGGCCGAGTGCCAACAGCACGGAAGTGCATGGCTAGCAGCAGCCAAAGCTAATCGCAAACACAGTTCGTACTGCAAGCAGCGTCTTTCAGCTACAAGTCTCAGCCAGCCCAGGAAACGTTGCTGAGTATTTAGCAAAATTGTAGAGACCATATGGTCATTTCAGCTGCAGAAGCTGCAAGCTCAAGGTCGTTCAGATGTTCTTGTCCAAACTGCGCCGCACAAAGCCCCGCACCGGATGGTTGCATCATCCGCTGCAGATGCGAGCGTTCGACCTCTGGGCACAAAGCGCAGCGACAACTCAAGAAAAACTTCCCGCTCGCATGCCTGCTCATCCCCCCTTTCGTTCCACAGCGCTGGGGTGCGAGCCGTCACGGGACCAAGACACAGAGAATACTTGCTTGCTGTGCCTTGGATGCAAGGAAAGGAGCAGATGTATATATACATATACAGCAAAACATATAATAATATCTATGTGTATATATATATATATACATGTATATGCAGAGCAACATATAATTAAGAGAGCCGCTCCTTCGGGCCCGCATGCCGAAAGCGCATGTTGTCATGTGCGGACAGCTAAAGTCGCTGGTGGGCGTGTATGCCTTCGGAGATTGACTAGTTTGCAGGCGGACTTTCGTGGGCTTTGCATCAAGGCATTGCTTGCTCAACTTGCAGCATCTCTTTGAGTCAGCAGACTTATGCTTTAAGTTCCCTGCTGCGACCCTCCAACTTGATGTACGAACTCGGGCAGGGGCCCGACGAGTGTGTCGATGCAGTGTCCGGTCGGCACGGTCCAAATCCGGATCTGCTTGTCCTCGCAAGGTTTGTTTAGCCTTGAGTCGCACTGCCTGCTGATACGCATGCACTCACTAGCTTTATCCCGAAGTGCAGTTTCCAACTCTTCCGCTACATACGGATGATAGCTTCTTCGCGACAACCTATTCTTGCAAGCGCAGCTCTCTCTGACAAACACACACACACACAAACACAAACACACACACACACACACACGCACGCACAGACAGACAGACAGACAGACAGACAGACAGACAGACACACAGACACAGACAGACGGACACAGACAGACAGACACACGGACAAAGACAGACAGACAGACACAGACAGACAGACACAGACAGACAGACACAGACAGACGGACACAGACAGACAGACACAGACAGACGGACACAGACAGACAGACACAGACAGACGGACACAGACAGACAGACACAGACAGACAGACACAGACAGACAGACACAGACAGACGGACACAGACAGACAGACACAGACAGACGGACACAGACAGACGGACACAGACAGACAGACACAGACAGACGGACACAGACAGACAGTTACAGACAGACAGACACAGACAGACGGACACAGACAGACAGACACAGACAGACGGACACAGACAGACAGACACAGACAGACAGACAGACAGACAGACAGACCGACAGAGACACAGAGACAAACACACACACACACACACAAACACACACACACAGAGACAGACACACACACACACACAGAGACAGACAGAGACACAGACACACACAGACACACACACACACACAGACACACACACACACACACACACAGTGCGCGTTCCAATCCAAGGTCCCCAAGCTGTGAACCCGGTCCAAAGAAGAGAACCCACGAAGGGCAATGTTGCACTCTGAATGCGGTGACAAAATTGAACCTCCTAGACTCTGGACAGCCGGGTCATGCGAACACGTCGCCACAGAACGGCTGTCGGGCGAAAATGCCACCTCGTCTTGTTGAACCCTGCAAAGGGTTGGACTATGTGACGGTTCGGGGATGCGGGCAATGGATTGTGCCGTGCTTGGCAAAGGCCTCTGCGTGTGCACAGTGATCATGGAGCAAATTGTGTGACATAAATCTTTAGATCTTTGTCTCACTACAGACCTTTGTCTGCTTACACTTCACACGACGACTTTTTCTTTCAGCTGCACATATGTATGCGTCAGTGGTGCCCTTTGAGGCAACATGTAACCAGAGGAACTATACCGGTATATCTATTAAAGTCGTACCAGAAAATTCGGTAGAACCCCCTGGCATCCGAGCAGTTTGCTTCCAGAAGTTGTCCAAACTGCTGTGGAACATCCGCCAGAAGCGCAATAAGAACACGGTTTCACAAGTGCCTACTATCGTGGCCAAGCACGTCTGTGTAAGATTCTTATCTTGAGCCAAAGTATTTATTTTGTTCCAGAACTGTTCAACTGGAAAGAATCAGACGTGCATCTTCAAGCTGTCTACCAGAGGTGAGCATTCCAAGGATCCAGTTGAAATACAAACGACTCTTTACAACTGCACAATGCATGCAAAACCATTCGACGGCACAGAGGGGCGGCCTTATTGTTGTTGGGTTTTTGTCTTCTCTTTTCCCGGCCGTCTTTGGAACTCACACAAAAGGGTGGAACAGTCAGGATACACTTTCATTTGTAAAGGGCGCAGCATGCGGCGACTTCCCGCATGAGACCATCAAACAAACGGAAGTGCTCACGCGCAGACATGCCTGCAAAAGCCGAAGCTACGACAACCAAGCATGCAGTGGCAGACAGCTCGGGAGTCCGCATTGACTGATGATAGTCAACAAGTCCAACCGATAGCAACCAGACCTTTGCAAGGCCTTGTCCATTTGCCTGTTTACGATGCTGCTCGAATCCGAAGATGGTGAAAAGCTTTCGTCATCCAGAACCAGTTAGGGACAGCCCCAAGGGAACGCAAACAGGCAAATCTGTGCTGGATCAAAGGCAGGTGCCTGTGGCCAGAGGGGAAGTAACGAACTCCACCCAGGCAACTGGCAAGTTCCTACTGGAATGGTTTGTGCATGCAACATGTTGTACACGGGGACGTTCGAGCAGCGCAAGACGCGAGATGTGAGAAGACTCACGGCATTCGTGCACCACGCAGCAGCCCCTGACAGGTGGATGGCACATAAGGCGGTGAACACTCGGCCCCGAATCTGCACAGGTGCTCCAGGTGTACTGATTTCTTGACATGTTTCAAGCGTGTCTGGTGTGTCTGGAAAGAGGGCCGGCGGTACCCCCGGCTCGGACTGTGGTCCGCGGCTTTGCGGTGTCGGCATGGCTTTCGGATAGACGAAATCCGAGTGAGTGGACATAGACTATGTGACATAGGTCGTTGGAGATGCTAAGAGAACCGTTGCTGCCCTTTACTGAACTTCAACCTGACAGGACAGTAGCTCGCAGGGGTTCTTATGAAAGCTGACTCATGTCTGTGGATCACGCGCGATTCTGGTAGGACACTAAAATCGTAGGGCTCTGGTTAAACGGAAGTATAATAGTAGCCTTTTCAAAAGAAGCTCAAAGGCCCTGAGGTCTGCCTGAGCGGCACTAGGTCGAAGCTCTGCATCCGAGGAGCTGAGAAAACGGGGCCCTTGTGGCCGAGCAGCGTGGCCAAGCACTCACCGCTGTCTGCACACCTCAGCTGCGGATATATACATATATATATATATATGATAAGATGTATATATATATATATATAATCATAATCATCCGACTTCCGACCCCCTCTTAGGACGCTTAGGGATCCGACATCACGATCTAGAATCGCAGTCTTTCCGGTGTCGTTTTGGTTTGGGGTCATGGCAACTTTCACGCGTGTCGCGTGCTGATTCTGAGTGTTGATGTTCGATCCAGAAGTCGCTTCGGAAAAAGTTCTCTGGAAAGCTGCTAAGTCTTCAACCTGAGGAAATCACCCTCGAAGCTATGCGGTGATTGTTCCTGCGACTTCTCTACTTTCTTCGTGTATCTCTTCCAAGCACCAAGTGACCAAATTCTCGCAGTGCGGTCTGTGGAGGCGGTCGCCTGGGTCTGCAGGAGGCAAGGGTACATTGGGAAGTCGGCAGATCTTTGGCAGCCAAGGAGCAAGAAGCTGTCCGTCCGTTGAAAAGCAGAGCCACATAACCTCGTGTCACCAGGAGTAACAGGCCACTGGACAGTCAGCAGATGGACAAGCTCCCAAACACACTGAAGGCTCTGGGCACTATGCACCGACATCAGTTCTTTGGTGCACGGAATTCGGATCTCAATAAGCTCAAGACCTCAAGAGAACGTAAAGAGCCGAATACCTCGAAAACCCTCCAAAACTCCTGTTTCAGGGATACACCGACATTAAGGGTTCTGAGAAGCTTGGCCCTGTAGAGTGGAAGCAGATGCTCAACGCAGCCAGGCTTACAGCCATGTGGCCCTGGGTTTAGCTGCGCCGATATGAATGCTTGTATTATGTTGTGTTGGCTGGTTTATGCGTGGGCGGGCGCACGAGACGGGTGTCTGGCTGTCCGTCCTTGTGTCTGTGTGTGTGTGTGCAAGCCACGTGTGTTGGTGTGAAGGTGTCTGCTTTTACTTCTCAAGCTTTCCGTGCCCGCGCTTGTTTGTCCAGGTGTGCATGGATCTCCAAATCGGACATCTTGGTTGAGGTAATGCCGCGACTAATCCCAAGATCAAGCAGTCTCCTCTGGAATATGAGGCTATTTCCAAATCACATTCCCTCCACACCCCAGACGCGAGTTGGTTGCCTGATCATCGTGGCCCGAGAACAGCTGCATGTTCTCTCCTGTGTAGACTCACAAGACACCAAGAACTCAAACCTCGTTGCAGGGGTGCTTCGTGGGTTTCGGGGTCGCGGCAATGCATACGCCAAAGAAGACTTTTTGGCTTCTGATTCCCATGGGAACTGTAAGCTGCCATCAATCAAAGTCAGACGTCAACCCCGCTTTGATTCCCGAAGGAGAACCTTCATCTCGTGTCTTCTACATTTGGCATGTCCGCCGCTGGTGCACAGGGCGCATGTGGGAAGAACACATTTGGGCGAGGGTTCTGGTGCGAAAGCGGCAAGCATGTGGGTTTAGAATCTAACACTCGGCAGGCGACCCACTGCTGCGATCTAAAAGGGACTACCAGGAATTCCGGACTGAGTGGCTGCATGCAGCTGCTGCACACTTCCACGAACACAGCGAGAAAGGATCAGACCGGAAGACATATTTGCTTGTCTCAGACGCTTGCTTAGGATCGTCTTCGGAGACCCGAACTGGGGCTGGACGAAGTCGTGGTTATACGCCGGCCATACGAGATTCATGCGGGTTCTTTTGCTCAGAACGACCGGTCTCAAGTGTGAGGCTTCGTGTTAATCCCTCCGCCATTCAGAGCACAAGCTCTGCAAAGCCCTAGTTTTCCACATGAAGACCTCCAAATCCAGGATGAGACTGTGTAGGGTTGCTGGTGCTGCTTCCAGTGTGGTACGCTGTGGCTCAATAGTCGGGGTCATGTTGACCCCAAGCCCCGTCTCCTGACTCCATGCTCCAGAAAGCGGCCGTGGTGTCCGTGGAAGCTGTAGCAAGCACTTGGGAGGGTAGCCAAATCAGCTGCAGCGAGCAGTTGTCACAAAGGCCGGCTGCCTCGGCTGCCCGACAGAACGACGGGCACATCAGGGTTGCGCCTTTGTGCCTTCATCTTTGGCCGAGCTGCTTCAAGAGTCATCCCCCCAGTGAGGATACAGCAGCCAGCGAGCAAACGAAATCGAGAAACATAGCCTTGGCTTCGAATGCTTTGTAGGCGTATCTTCCCAGTCAAGAGTGACCTGCATCACGGTCTTTTGACTCGGTGTTCAGGCTGCCTCTCCACGGATGCTAGAGGAAAGCAGACCTTCTTGAAGACTCGGCAACGCCAACATGATCCTGGGAAGGGATCGGTGCACCCTCAATTGCAGGCGAGGCCGCCCAGTTCAGCCACGACTTTCTGGCGCAAGGAGATCACTGCGTCCTAAGCTTTCAAGCCGTACGAGTAACTCTCAAAGGCTGGGGAATCCATCAATTGGAGGCAAAGCCACGAAGCTGTCCACATGCAACTCTCAAACTGTATGCAGGCAGCAATACAAGTTGCTTGGTATAGCTAAACTAACTCTTTGCAGCCACAGAGTCTGACGGCAAGGCTTTCACTGTGCAGATCGCCCCGCCGTCCACAGCTGCAGTCACATGAAGTGTCCATTCGCGGGCATCGTCAGAAAACATCAGGGAGCGGCAACTACGATGCCTCTTCTGCAACTGGGACCTGGCCTACCCGCATACATGAACGACAGAGGCAAGCTGGCAAAGCAAACCCTGTGCTTCAAAGGATGACTTGACCCCTGATGAGTGAGAGCTGTGCTGGAGTTCAAGATGGATCCCGGACTGCTTCGCTGGCTGATGCAGAGGCTGAGGATTGAAACAGTGGCCACATGGAAAAGCTAAACTTCTCAGTCGCGGTGGGATTTTCTGTGCTTGGAGGCTGGCTGTTGCTGTCCGTGAGCCTGAGAAAACAAATCCAGCGCTCAGAAAACATAAGTGAACACAACCTGTGACTTCCCGTGCTATGCCCGGAACGGTAAGTCGGATTATTTGTAAGCGGCTGGGCGGTAGTAGGTTTGCAAACGCTGAAACTTATGGAGAATGCAGAGCTAGCTGCGGATTCGGATTGGGATAGCTTAGTAATCGGGGTTCTGTCTTGCCTAGGGCCAGGCCATGCTCGTTGTGAAACGTTGAAATTGTTGCAAACTGATGGAGCAGGAACTTCGAACGTGCTGTCGCATCCAGTGTTTTCCGCGAGTCGGGGTAGCTGTCCGGCGTTCTGCAGTTTCACAGACGCCGCACAGCAGCCATCTAGTGTCCAAGGTGCGAAGATGCGGCTTGGCTCGCCTCTTGCCTACTAGAGTGAAACGAATGGTCCGGCAGTGTGATCGAGTTACCGGGGAAGCTATGGGCATTGGCGAGCTTTATGGTTTCTCGGGGATGTGTTCCTGTCGACCGAGATGAACATCTTCATTCCTCAAAGGCCAAGAACCGCTTGCCGTTGCCTGACACATCTTCGAAGTTGAGCATGACTGGCTAATCTTGCTAATGTCACGAAACTTGCAATACATGCTTCAAACCCGGCTCTGAAACCGACACCCAATCAGCAGAAGGATACGCTGCAGATTCGTCCAGTCATACTGCGGGGGGGGGGGGGGGGGCTGCAAAACCACGAATTTGCGGTGAAGCCCCGGCCCCAGGTCTTGAGACACCCTGGGAACGGTCCAAAAGCCCTGACGACTGGGTCCCCGACTGCTGGACGAACTGGAAGAGCTCCTTGGCCTGGCAGGGCTTCTCTGTCGGGTGCTTTCAGAGAGCTGGAGGAAGCTCGAACACGGGTTTTGGGAGCTGCAATGAAACGTAGATCCTTGTAGGCGCCCCCTTACCAACTGACCCTCATAAACACTCGCTTGCAGCACTTTGGCTTTACACGGTAAATTGCAATACTTTCGTCATGTTGTACTCAAACGCTCCCCACCGCTTTTCAGCACCGCTGATGCTTCCGGTGTGTGTGTGTGTGTGTGTCTGTCTGTGTGTGCGTGTGTGGTGGTGGTGGGGGGGGTGCTACTGGTCTTCTCTCGAACAGTATAATTGCTATTTGCCGCTTGGCACCGGTATGTCATGCTGCTGTTGTCGCTTGTGTCTGCACTGCAGTCTCGCCGTGCTTCTGATGTTGGTCTTCTCATAATCCGGCACGATCGCGGTATTTGCAATGAACCTGGTTAATACAAACACAAATTCCCTTCTGTGGAGAAAAACAACTTCGGATCAAGCTGTCGTGGCATCAATGGAACTGATGCTTCGTTGCTGTTACTGAGTTACGCATATATGGAGGAGGGATATGATGCTGAACCAGCGGCAAGGACCAAGCCGGCTCGATTCAGAGGTACTCTGAACTCTTCCTGCTCTGTTCAACTCCTATCAAAGCTTCTGGAAGTCAGGGCCTCCGAGTAGAGTCCACCCCGTCTCCTTCCCCGGCCTTCTCAGGGCAACCTGGGTTTTTGTCAGGGTGCCACCGGAGCAGGAGGTCCTTGACTTTGGCCTGGGCAGCTGGAGTTCTGAAAGCTTGCCTACAGTCGGTCGTAAAACGACTTCCTAAACGCTACCTTCAGGCCCAACAATCCCAACCCAAAGGATCTGACGGGTTGCAAATCGTGATGCTCTTCGCTGCACTTGCAAGCCATTGCCCGAACTTGACCAAAGCAACAAGGCTCGCCTTCTGAATCTCCCGCGGGGCCATCTGAACCGACTGCAGCTCCTGGAAGGCTGCGTACCACAACCGCTGCAACAGCACTTTTTGGAATAGACTCAAGCCCAAAACCGCCTGCAAAACCCCCAAAGGCCACACTGGCTCCTTGAGAAGCGCTCTCTCCTGGGGGCCGAGACGGCCCGAGACCCCTCTGACGGGCGATCCTCAGAAGAGTCTTGGGTTCATGGGTAGGCACAAAAGTGCAAACCCAACTGGGGTTGTAAGTGCTTTCACTGATCCGTGAGGGGCAAAGCCCTGCATGTTGCTGCATACGGCTGAAGCATATCATCCCTCAAGCATCTCATCCACCGCACTGTGTATGTCAGATATCATGGGCAGCACTTCCTTGCCGGCGGAAACACCAGACCCGACAACAAGGCATCCTGATGGAGGTGATGGCGTCGCAGATGCGGATGTTGTGGATGGCCAGGGCCTTATCTAAGATTTCTTGCCAGGGTACTCAGAGCTCCTAGGGAATACGTTTTTTGTTCAGCGACACGTCTTGATTCAGAGCCCGTGCATGTTCATGAAGCAGCGATCTGGGTGGTCCAGAACCTTTTCGAACCTGGGGCCCGGCGCCTCCGCTGCCTCTGCCTACATCATCCGACTGGAAGCCGTCTGAGCTCGCGAACCCTGGAGCCGGCTCACGCTGTGGCGCATAGAACCTCAGCGACAAAATCCAGACTGCTAGACTCTTGAGAAACTGAGTTCACCTTCTTGGAGTCAGCCAAAATGCAGTGGAGAAAGAGAGAGTGTGCTCTGGCGCACTCTAAGAGTGTAAGAAGTATGAAAACCAGTGAAAAGGAGAGATCTGAGGCTGCAGGCTGCTCGTCGGCCTGGGCGGCTGTCCGTGCCTGGCTCGAGCCAACAGGGCCTGGGCCACTGTGGCCCCGCAGACGCTGAGCTTTGTGCTGTTGTCCTAGCGCCTTCGGAATAACAACAAGCACTCGAAGCTGTGCATTCGGAAATCTGCGACAAGGCCGGAAGGGTCAAGAGCGCCATCAAGTCCGGGAACTGTCATCGTTGTTCTGCGCCTTTGGGCGTGCATATCCACGCCTTTCTCGTATTCTGAGGCAAATGTGCGTGGCCTTCGTGAGAAGATCCTTTACAATCCCACCGAAGGCAGTACCACTCTAACCAATAGCAACAATTCCCAACACGAAGCTTCGTCGAGGATGCATCAACAAGACGCTTCAGCCTCCTGGCGGCGGGCAGCTGCGCAGAACTCGGCTTCCGTAGCGTATCTCTGCCTGCACGACGTGTCCTATTGAGCGTGTAGGTCTCTTCCGCTTTGTAAATTGACCTTTCAAGTTGGTCTAATCATTTACTTCTGACCCCACCTCGGCAAGGATTTTCAGTTCATAGCAAAGTGGGCAGTTCGAATTCGTCAGTCCGCCAGGAACTGTTGCAGGGGGACTCGACATCCTTTGACCTCCGAAACCTTCGCTTCTAGCCGCTGAACAAGTCTGAAAGTCCAAGGCTGTCATGTGAAATTGCTCAACCATTGTGGTATATGCTACATGACAATGAGAGCAGATTACAATCTTTAAGGACATGTTCCCCGAAAACCGCCCACGAATGTGCGAGCTCGACTCTCGACCCTGAGCCTCTCTGCAGCCAGACACCGCTCCCACTCCTGTCGGTGCAACTACTTGAAGGCCAACCTTTAGCAGGCAAGCCTGGCGACAGTAGCAGAAGGTGTGCTACAGCTATGGCACGTGAGGCTGCGAAGACGTGTGCCGAAAAGAAACATCATTTCACGGAAACCCTCGGCACTGCTTAACACAGTGCCATCTAGCTGTGGTGCATCGCCGCCTATGGGTTCAAGTCCGACAATGTGCTTCCGCAGTGTGCAGAACCCTTCACAACCACCCAAAATGCAGAGCAATCTCGCACCTGACTGTGTCCAAACACTAGTGAAGTAGACTCCGTAGCACAGTTGTAGGTTTCTTGACAGCCGCAGCCTTTGTTACTCTTTTGCCTCTTGGCGTCTAAACCGCCGTGATCATGCCGGTTCCACCCTAGCTGGCATCGCAGGGAACTACAACAATCTCAGTCCTCGAATTGCCGCCGTCGGTCCCGGGCGTAATCGTCTAAGCGCCGACGCTCCTGGAATTTGGGACAGAGCAGGGAGTTTCCGCAAATAGGGGACCCTAATATGGTACCCTAAATAGTAGGATTCTTATTATAAGGACCCCAAAATAAGGTACCCCGAATTGTCGGAAACTCCCAGCAAGGTTCTGCAGCTTTCTGTGAGCTCGCTTAGGGCCTCAGGACTGGTTGCAGCTCGGCCAGCTTTTGCGGCTCTGTTCCCACGGGCCGAGCGCACAACACGATGACCACGACGAACGCTGTGACGCATACCCAGAAAGCAAGTCAAGCCGAGCGACAGGAAACCCAAACAAGCTTTCGCCTCGTAGACTGGTATGACTTGTCTGGTGAGACCTCGGTTTGCCTGGTGTGATGATAGGCACTGGCATCAGTTTGTTAAGGTACGTCGCACCAGCAGGAAAAGAACGCGATGGAACACAAGCTAGCATTTGCTCATGTTGCTGAACGAACTTAGCTGGACAGAGCTGGAGGGGATTTCGCCTACTTACGGCCACAAGCAAAGCTGCCTTCAACGTCCCACCCACTCGGACGAACCTCACTCAAGTGCCCGCGACGAATTCAACAACATCAGCCGCAACAACCTGGTGCATCTGTTCTGCTGCGACATGATGCACTTCTAGCACCACCGCACCACGACCACGACGTCTGCGACTGTTGAGATGTCGACAACGACTGCTCCTTCTCCTCCGCCTGCTAGTAGTAGTCGTCGTCGTAGCAGTAGCAGAAGCACTAGGAGTAGGAGTAGAAGGAGTAGAAGGAATAGAAGGAGAAGAAGTAGTAGTAGTAGTAGTAGTAGTAGTAGTAGTAGTAGCAGAAGCACTAGGAGTAGGAGTAGAAGGAGTAGGAGTAGTAGTAGGAGTAGTAGTAGTAGTAGTAGCAGCAGGAGCAGGAGTAGTAGTGGTAGTGGTAGTGGTAGTGGTAGTGGTAGTGGTAGTGGTAGTGGTAGTGGTAGTGGTAGTGGTAGTGGTCGTAGTAGTCGTCGTCGTCGCCGTAGGCCCCATATACCTCGTTTGCCGCGCAGACGGCGCAGCAAACGGGTCTTCAGTGATGTGCTTCATTGCAACATGCAGAGTGTGCTCACGTTAAAGCTGATGTTAAAGCTGTGTTTTCGCTTTGGTTTCAAGCGGGAGCTTTGTAGGAAAGTGTTAGCAAGTGCGTATGTCTCACGTGCATATGAACCCATGCGCAACCGTGTATACATCGGAAGTATCGTGTTGGAAGTGCGCATTCCTATCGCACACTTACTAGGCCCTAGGCTTTAATCCCAAGCCCACCAGTCCTAGCTTTTGATTTAGTTCAGGGGGGGAAGGAGCTAGCTAGCACCAGGAAACCTCGTGAAAGACTTGAAGCTTTCAAGCTTCAGCTCCGCGGCTCCGCGGCTCCGCTCCTCGGCCTCTTGCTCGGCCCAGTGGCGCTCAAGCTCCTCCTCCAAGTCTTGCCTCGGCAGGAGCCGCAGGGAGAAGAGCGACAGAAACCGCGGGAGAAGCAGGAGGAAGAAGAGGAGTGGCAGTGGTAGGGATGGCAGCTCGGCGTAGTGGTGAAGGTGGCAGGATGTTTCAGCCGCAACGGCCACCGTTGTCGTCGCCATTGTATTTGTAGAGTAGCCTTGACGGGCATGCATATGACACACCACAGCACGGGCAAACAAGGTATGCAGCGAACATCCACACACGACACGCCAGTGTAACAGTACTGAGGTACCAAACGTCCACACTCCAAACCCGTGTCCCCAAGCACTTCCAAACACTCTCTCAGGGCCACCCTGCCATCGGCCCTGTGCCACGCCTTGCCGCTGCTCCTGCAGTCTTCGGAAGTTGGGATCCAGGGTCACCCGGACACAAGATCGAAAGTGGTGCTGCGAATGATCACTCTGTTGATGCTGAGGCTAGAGCTTTGAGTGTTCTTCTTTTATCATTACTATATTCGTTTGTTTGGCTAGTGCTGAGCGACAGTTCAAGGCTTTGCAGGGTATAGGGGCCTGTATCCCGGTTGCTTTGAGGCTACAGGTGGACTGGCCATCATGAGCATCGGAATGCAGCTGCCATGGCTCCTGCTTTAGAAAAATCAAGGCTTTTTGCATCTTCGAATTCGGGCCGCGAGGCTCCCAGCCTTAGAATCAATATGGGGGCCTTGATATATATATATATATATATGTGTATGTATATGTGTGTATATATATATAGATAGATATATTACAAAAAGGAGCCTCCAAAATAGTATTGGTAATTATCTAGGCCCCTATAATAAACCGAAACAGCTTTTATCTTCTATTCGAAGCTTCCCTCGTGACACCTTTCTTGCCGCACAGCCCCTGCCTCCAGCTGTCTGGACCGCTCCTCCTCCTGACGGAAGGTTTGAGAACCGAGGCTAGCGAAGCTTCTCTTCTTGGAGGATCATGGGACTTAGTAAGTAAGGTTATAAGTACCTTAATTGGGGTTATAAGTATAGTTACCCTAGTTATAACCCTAGTTACTAAGTCCCATGATCCTTTAAGTCGCGAAGCTTCTCTTCTTCTCTCCCCTCTGCCTGCAGCTGTTGCTCTCGGCGCCGCTGGCAGCGCTCTTCCAGTGCTTGCCGGACCTTCCGAGGGCAGCCTATGAGAGTTTCAGATATTTTACTTGCGACAAAGAACACCGGTTCTGCCTCGTCCTCTCTTGCAGACTGCTCGGCGGCTTCTCGAGCCTGTGACTGGAGGTGCTTTAGGAATCTCTACCGAAGGCAGAAGCTGACGCAACATCATCATCCCGACGAATTTCCGAAAGCGTAAGGAATCCCACCACTAAGGCACTAACCATGCGTAGTCCATGTTTCAACTTGCTAGAATTCTGTTAACCCCTCCCACCCCCTTCGCGGCGTGTACCCTTCACTCTAACTGCATCGTGCTGGGTTCGATCGAAAAAAATGTCTGCTTCTGTCCGAAGATGGAAATGGGAGTGGCTAGACTGCAAGAGGTCTTCGACAGAACGGGTTGGGGTTCTCGGACGGTGACATGCTCCTTCAGGTCTTGTGCATCTCTCCGTCATGGCTGCTCCGTGCTTTCCCCCTTGGTTCATGCTAGTTGCAAGTCTTACCACGTTTCTATCTATTCAACAATTTCCCCACAACGGCCACGTATGTTGCCAGGGAAATCGACAGCGCACAACTGCTTGAACAAGGTGTCAGGTAAGAAACACATAGCACCCTGCAGCCCAGGGGACTTTGGGCAGGTATCTTGCATATCTAACAACCACCGGGGCCTCCTGCATGAGTTGCGCTTCGACCATGCTCTCACATGTTCTATAAAGTCAATTGTCTATAGCTGCCGTGGGGGCAATTCCGCCCGCTAACTTGCGATTACGGAACGGATCGGCTGCAGTACCGAAAGATTTCCCATAATCAATAATTAGGAAGACTAGTACTTGAATAGTAAAGGTGGGGCGCATTATGCTATAATTATAATAAGGAACCCTCAGAATAATGTTGGTATTTATTTCGGCTCCTATATGTCCACCACGTACAGCCTCCCGCTCGCGGTGTTCGCGAAGGTCGCGCTCGACTTGTTCCTCACA